TCGCAGCATTTGATGGCCCGGCAATTTCCAAAACCGGCACTCGTTGGTAGCATAGCTGTTATAGTGGTATTATAATAATATCAGCAGCGATTTTTTGTCAGGCACTTCCTAGTCTAGTATTATATTTAATGTGGTTGCTCGTTTAAACGCGTTTGATGTGTACCTTATTCGCGCATATGACAGCAGAGAAATGCGTGCGCTTAATCCGCGATGATAATCTTCAAAGCGTCCTTCCTGGTAAATAGGATAACACGCACAGTGTGTCTAATATAATATGATCATACACATCTATTGTGTGCGACTTAATGCCGTTTGACGGAGTCATCGGCATGCTATTTTTTTTTCTATGCCAGGGAGAAACAGTTACAATATTATGTTATTGTACACATGTCTCTCCGCAGCCGATGCTCTCGTTATTATCATTATTATACTGCCTTCTCCGAGAATGTCTGTTTAACAACGAAATACCGAAACTCTCACGACACATCTCAGCCGAGATACCGTCGTCTTCACACGACATGACATATTTTACTGTACACATCAGTATCTGATTTACAGAACTTGGGACCTAGTCACTTAGGTTCTTCAGGAAGTTACAGGACAACTGACTTGGCGGCCTGTCCGAGCTTCTAAGCTGTCGTCAAAATTTACGGTTGAAACCTTTCCAACGGGCAACGCACTTCTGGGAAAGAAATCCCAAAACTAAATGCTTTAAAATCAGTATATATATGTTCAAATTCCTATTTTAATTTTAAACATTTTGTTTTCAACCAGGCCTATACCTCATTGACTCTTCTAATTGTCTACATGTATTTTGTTTGACGGTTTTCGAAAAAAAAATTATACGCGTCGAGGGTTAAACATTCCTACTTCGCAAGTAGAATAAACCAAACTGGTATTAAACTATGGACGATATTATATTCCATACGAGTCCGGTGGGATTTTGATTTTCAATTTAAACTCAATTATTTATTTTTAAGTGGATCTTTCTTTGTCTGTGTATTTGGAGTCAATTTACCGGCCAAAACGGATTGCCGACTACATAACTTGTTAATGGTTGGCCTTGCCTGTACATATATGTGTATTAATAATGTATGCACATATCAAACGGCATGTACCATTATGTTACGACATGGATTGATATATGTACTCCGAAGTGATCTCGCGTGTCGATCGGCTATTGTAGGGTGTACGCAAATCACACTGCGGTGTTTATATTATTATTGTTATTATTAAATTATGTAATATCTTATACCGTTGAAATTAGGTTTCGTCTCGACCCCGTCACTCCTCGGTAGTTGTAATCGATTATTATCCAACTACAGCCATCGTGTCATGCCGTCGTGAGTCATCCGTCCGCCATAGCCCCGCAAGTTGATGGGATCCAAAATCAGCAACGATCCGCTAACTTCCGCGGTGTAGCACAACGTTTTCTTTTAGGTATTACTATAATATTATTATGTTTTTGTATGTCGATACAGTTAATCGTCAAATGAAAAACAAACAAAAAATGGCAAAGGAAATCTCTCCATATTATGGTCTTGTAATCATAGTTTTGTATAAACTGTTGGCTCACTGTTATTGAATAAAACTGCACACATACTGTTTTAATTTATACCAGCTTAACGGATTTTCCTATATGTGTAGACTGTTCCTTGCTACGTGTTAACCTATTAATGAATATTTCGATTTAAGAGACCACTAACTTTTTCAGGCTTCACTATAGACACATGAAAACTCATAACCGTTGTTTACCTAGATTCTAACGGATGTAAATACCCTCTATTAAAATAATATTGTATTTAAGTCACATTATACAGCGTATCTTTTGCCTCTTCTTCTTCAAATCGCTACTTTGTCACCATTTCTTTATTCACTCCACTTATCTACATGACGTTATTTCTTGAATCTACCAGTTATTTCTTCTTCGGTTTACCTCTACCACTAAATTCCTCCTCATAGTGTCTTTTATATGACACTATGAAGTATGTAGTTCTGCTTTGATTATTATCCGAGTCTACATATCAAATCTAATCTATTGTCTAGTCACTATTGAGGGTATCAGTATACACATTTTTAAACTACTATTACGGTACTTTATCTAAATGGTACCATAATATGTAGATATAAGTACTGTAGAAAGAATATTCGCGTACCGAACACGTCCATCTTCATTGTCGGATGTGTAATTTGTTCAACGGTTGACCGCAATCCACCGAAAAATAGCCTCTCCTATTATACACCTGTATAATAATAATAAATGTATACACACACACAATATACTATAAAACGGTCAGGCGTTTAAACGGCTGCTAATGCTGAAGTCGACCGGCATTCTTGTATAATGTACTTAAAACGCATAATAATAAGAGCGTGCGTGGTAATTAATATACCGTGTGTGTATATTAGATCTCGGCCGATGTATTCCGATCGTTCTAAAGATAATGATATTATTTTCTTGGACGGGGGTCTTTTTTCATTTCCACCAACGTCTATGTCTACCGACTTAACGAAAAGACACCACTGTTGTAAATATAGCGCTATTAATTTGCCGTCGTCGTCACGGCCGACATCCCGGTGGACATAAACAAATCGCAGGTGTCATCCGCACCGCCGCCCTAAACGCGTTATATCCATATACAAATAATTGTAAACACATAATAATAATAATATTATTATAATGTGTACACTGCACCGGCAACGTTTGCGTGGAGTTTTACGGGCTTACACCCACAGCTTGTCATGCATTTAACACGCAGTCGGCTCACAAACGTGCCATAGTCTAATCGTAGTTACGTTACCGTTTTCTTATTTGCCATTTATATATTTTTAACAACGGTAATATAATTTTTTATCGCCCTTGTTACAATAATGGTGTACGCATGATATACTGTTGTGTGACGTGGAAAACGAACGCCTATAGATTAATTATCTCCAGGACAATAATATTTTTATATCATATTATATATACTTGCCAATGCGCCTTATGCGCGCAACGATTAGGACGTGTGTAATTATTAATTTCCGCACGAAAGACTGCTTACAACATAATATTATACATATATATATATATATACTATAAGTTTATGGGTATTAATTAACAACAATATACTTGTATATGTCTGTACACGTGCATTAACTACTCCGGCAGCGATGTCAGTTATTTCAATATTATTCACTAACGATTGCGATAATTGATTAACTGGTTTGGACTAGTGTCTATAGCCCAAGATTATATTAAAAGAAGAAAGTAGGGGCGAATTTATCAAACTAGAGAACATATCTCGAATCTGGAAAGTGAAGTGAAAACATACAAAACAACGTTTCGAACGGCCTTAGGGATTTAGGCATAACGTAAACACACTTAGTATTACGTACGTGCACCTACAGCGTAAAACGCATATTTTGGCGCGTTGGGTTCAATTTATATTATGAGTTTGTAGATTTGTTTCTCATAACATTTTCTTTGTTTGTAAACAAATTATCAAGTAATTACTTTATAGGGGCAACCGCATTAAAGATGATAACCCCATATGACGCAAATACATTAAGGGAGAGGGGAACAAAAGCTACAGTCCCCTATAAAAAAGAAGTCTTGCACATGGCTAAAGTAGTAGTGCAATATATTCAACTGTTGAATTAAATAATTAATTTAACAGTGCTAAGAATATTATAAGAGTTTATGTAATTAGGTATATGCTTCTGAATACTGTATTTGTAATGATCGATTCATAAAAAAATGCCTCGGAGCGGATTTAAAAATATATAAACAAAAATTAAGTAATATTACTATACCAGTTATGCCCGTATGGTTTTACTAGAAACCATGTACAAACCTTCTTGAAATTAATATTTTTTAAATGATTAACAATAAACTCGAAAAATTAAAAACGTATTGGCTATAAAAAAATAATAAGGAAATTTCACAAATATGCGGGCTGTCATAAGTGATTTACCACACACGAAGTCATCGTGCACCGTTCAGACAATATTATAAGCTTCAAAAACTGTGTTTGGCGAAAGATCTGAATTTTTCAGACCCGATAAAAATCTAATAGGGAACACGTTCAACTGACGTCTGTTTGCTAAATCCTTTTCCTCTGACAAACTGTATAACAGCAAACAGAAATACAATTAATGTATTACGGCTGATGTATCTATACAGACATACGAAAAAAACGAAAGGGGACAAATAAAATATATAGTAATGATATACAAAAAATTATTTGTTTTTAATTTATATAACTTTCTTATAACATCTTGGGTGTGTCACTGTCGGTACAGACTAAAGGTTGACCAGAACCGTCGAATGTCGCGCGTTTCTCCTGGATTATAATATTATTATGTTTTACCTGTGTCGAGGTGAGTAGTTTGGTTAAAAGCGTCCGACATAATATATTATTATAATACTATTTTTATTGCTTTAACGTTGAACGTTCCCCGAGATGCTTTCATCTTTGTAACGGGACTCGCAGGTGTACACTGTTTATGCGAAAATCCTACAAAAAACGTATGATAGCCGCAAAGTCTTGTTGTGCACGAAACGAAACGCAGAAACGGACTTTTTTCACAAATCCGTTCATGCTTAGCATTGTTTAAGTTTTCTAAAACAATAATAATATTATCTTTGTCTCATTACGGTCATTTCGACGGTAACACACACACTGTATTAAGCACGAGAACTCCACTTAGGCGTACATGTGTCGACACGAAAAAAAAACTGGTTTTGAAATTCGTTGACGTCTTCTCGAAACATTTTAATCCGGATGCTGTTATTTCTTTAGCGGTCTACATATAATAATAATTATACTTAATATGCTTTTTGTTTTTGGAGTTTCGGCTCGGAAAAAAAATATCAATAGAACTAGAAAATACTCAAATAACGATAATTTAAGGTTGTTTTTTTTTCTGCGTTTACCTAAAAACGGACAAAATTATAATTTTACCTTATAAACAAGTGCGTGCACTATCATTACATATGTTGTTTGTTTTTTTTTCAGATAACGGCCAAGCCGCCGAATAAGATGAACGATCACGTGGCTCGTCTTCGGGTGGTGCAAGAAGTATCATCGCGGAACAGTTCGGCCAGTTGGAACAGCTCATGCACGTTTTCCACTGAACAGAGTATCCCGGTACGGCCAATTTTCTTTATTATATTCAAAATACATATATGTATATATATATATATATATCAGGTCTAAATAACCTAAATATAATTTACTACGCAAAATAAGTTATACTTCTTATAACAGAGATTGGTATGATTTATCACACATCATCTAACTTCTCTCTTTGTTTGTTATAAATTAAGAAGTTAACGGTTAACTTAAATCGTAGTGCTCTTATAGGGTAAAAAAGCTATTAAATACTTACATTTTGTCAATGTAAATATGAGAAATGGACAAGACGACCGAGATTCGAACCACGGCTGGTGCGTAAAATCACTACCGCGGTAACCCTCTCGACCACGACGCCAGACATAAAATGATGTTAACGACCAAAATTAATATTATTTTTATTCATTCGTACCTAGACGATAAAATGGCTACAGTGTAATTACACTGTAAAATTAAAAACTAATAAAGCCTATTTAAACGCAATTATATATTACAGGTTTCTTTTAAATATGTATTGATTAGATGCAATTTGAACTAATTATGTACCTATTAGGAGGAGTCCAGCCCTTCTTCAAAAACGTCACTTGTTCTTAAATAATATTTTTCTAGTTATCATTTCAACAGTATAATAGATGGGCGTTTACTGTGTATAAAAACAAAACATTATCGGTAATTGATATAAATCTAATTGTGTGCAAGTGTAGGCGGTGCTAGAAAAGATGTTAACCCGGCCTCGGCCGAGGGCTTCGCGCTTTTGACATTGAAATCGGACAATGTTACATGGGAAACTGGAAATGAGCTACTCTTTTGGTCTAATCGTCCGCTGTATACTAATAATTTTACGTATAACCGCCCACAGGGACTTGGTGGGTGTTTTCGTTTTAATGGATTTTTTCGCCTCTATTTTATGGCCAGGTAAACCGCCGCCGTCGCTGCTGGGTTCGTTATAAAAATTCATATTGTAATTATTATTATGTTACACTATTACTTATGAAGGTATTATTATTCACATCATTATGCTTTACTATTTTAATCTTGAACCAAAGTAATATAATCCGCAGTAGACTGTGTTATAGTCGCAGTATTAGGTAATTTTATATTTAATTGAAAGCTACGTTTTCATTGTGAATAAAAAATACACTATTTTTATGTATAGGTTATCCGCGATTAAAAATGTAACTTGAGAGAGCTTTACACCACCTATAAACAGATGATTTGATTATACAACTTGAAATAAAGTTAAACTTACTACAAAACTCGTTACATTTTGAAAAAAAAGAAAAAACAATTTTTTGATAATATGATCGACAGTTTTATATGTAGTTACAAAAGCAATACGGTTGACTAAATCTGACTACACCATCATAAAAAAAAAAATTGTTTGGGATTATTACTGCATTTTTGGTAAATGACTTGTTCAGACAAACAGATTTAAATAAAAATGTTATGTTTCTTTACAATTATTTGAAATTTATTTACGAGGCTTCGTCATGAAAAATCTCCATATCATTTAAAAGGACCACCATATTATGTTAAACATATATTTTTATTAAAATCTTAACCATGAACACTAATTAAACAAAGCATAATTTCGTATAATGCCCACTGCTGACTGGGTCTATATTAGAAAAAAAACCGACGGGGTGTCGGTTTTTTTACGGGGGTCGTCATGTTAGAATCATAACGTTAAAATGACTTCATGCACATATTGTACCTACTGCACATAAAAACCACTACTAGCGCTGGTATTTAAGCCTTTCACCGAATATACATTAAAAGTGACGTTGACCATGAAAAAAAAACAATAATTCCTGATTTTCATGCCCCAACGGCCAACACCCGCGTATATTGTATTATACATACATACACACTTAACGAAGATTGATGGCTCTTAATAGGGCATTGTATAAATCCATGATGTCGGTTAATGTTAATGTTTTCGAAAACGCATTTCTGGTACACCCAAGACACGTGTTTAGTTAGGTAGGTACACTTAATACTTGTATAAAACAACAATCGCCGCTCACAGACGACCCAACAGAGGGTTGATGATGATCGTGTGTACATAGTTGTGTTCATTACCAAGTACATCACGTATCCATTGTCTGTGTCGGGCCGGGAAGCACGTCGTGATGGTCACAGAGAAGTTAACGCTGAAAAAAATATTTTACAATAAGACTCTCTAAAATGTACAAGGCGACTTTTTTTAATACATTATTCAAAACTATCAGACGGAATTTCCAAAAACCGGAATCGGTTCGGTAAACACTTCGGAAAGTGACTCCGCGTTTTAGTCTTTATTAATAAAAAAATTGACGCTTTCCGTTCCCCTTAAATTAAATTTTATGTCAATAATTTTTTTAACATTTAACCTTCTACCGAAACTTGATTTTCAAGTATATTTAAAGTATTTACAAACTTTTTGGTAACATTTTAAAAACTTAAATATGTTTTGTTGTGTCTGGTTTTATTCCAATGATGTCAACTCTACTCAAAAGTTGTTACCCTTAGAACAGCTGAAAACAGAAAATTACAAATATCTACAATCTAATGTCGTTAGGGTTTAAACATCATCAATTACTATATCATTATTTGTAATTATATATCATTATAATTTATAACCTTGTGAGCCTGTATGTATTGTAATCTCTAGATTTTTTTTTTTTAATTGTACGAATTTTATTTTGCACATTAAAAGTGTATATTTTATTTTTCACTATTTGTGGGAACTTTTTACATACCTAGTAATTATAGTATAAGATACGATTCCTTAGAGTCCAACCATTAATACAATGCAATAGAGCAAATAAACAAAAAAAATATAATAATAACACTGTACCTAAAAATTGTTGTCCTGATAAAGAATTTGTGTAATGTGAATGAAATTTGAAAGATGAAATGGCTTAGCTGCGTGTATAAATTATAATACACTACCGCATAGAATTTAATAACTATTGTGTCTAGCGATGTGACCTTCGAACAATAACCAAGCTTATACAGGGTCTATCATAACTGTATGTGAGCTCTACGTTATTTAGACCTTGTAAAGTGTAAAATTAGGAAATTAGTTTCCCATTTTTATATGTCTTAATTTTTGAGTTTTAATGAAAATTAAAAACAAACCACACTAGACGAGTTATTGCAGAATCATTTTAAAAATTAAGTGACCAAATTATTTTTTACCCAAAAAATACCATTTAAATTTTAGTGACTTGTTATCCGATTATTTTTTAAACAAAACTCTAGTTAGATTTTATTGTAAATAACTGAAAGCTAATTATGAGCAATGTCAAATATTTTTCTTAAATAACAATAATATGAAAAACAACGATTCATCAATTAGAAAATAATTTTAATCGAAAGTTTATTATTAATTATTGCTATACTTAAGACGGGGGTAAATTGGCATTTCTGGGGATCTATAATTTACAAAAAAAGATGATATAAGATTATCTTTTGCTACTTAGCTATTTATTTATTTAGGACCCTGCAATTATTTACACAATAACTACATATACGTTTTAATGACATTAGCTTAAAGTCAATTTCATTAAACCTAATTGTCTTGACACTTAAACAACTAGATGGTGGGCGTGCTCGTTCATCATTAAAGACAACAATACTGAAACTTTTAGAACGCAAAAAAAACATAAAGTTGTGCTTATATCAACAGAATCGTATTAACAGTGTTGAAATACAAATATAAATTATTTTAAAGAAAAAAACAGTAACAATAACATGTACGTGTACATTAGTAATTGAAATAAAATCAAACAACTTGACACAACATCAATTCAAGTGCACACGTGTTCTTTTAAACATTTTTTTTTGTCGCATCGATAATTATTATGTTACGGAACGACTGGAATTTTAATTTGGATAGTATCATTAAAAGTTGTTTGTATTATAATATATTTTAAACGCTATGGGGATCCAAGTAACGCACACATTATATAGCTGATGGCATAATAATACCTTTAGATATGGACGTGAGCTCAGAAGAATACTGTTCATGTAACACAATAAAAACATAAAATTAGAATAATACAATAATGGGATATAATAATAATATGTAAATTGTGACGAATATTGTGTTGAATGTTTTATTGCACGTTTAATAACGTAATAGTAGCTGTATACTTTGGAATATAGGAAGAAGAGAAAAACCGTCCTGGGTCATACTGGGTTTATATACCTACAGCAGGTATAATACATACATGCTTAAGGATAATCGTTAATACCGATCACGACTTGGCCGGATTTTGTATTCATGATTGATGATAATTTTATGATAAGGTATTTATGATTCGTGAGCTCTTTATTTACATTGTATGTATATTATAAGAATAGCGTCCCGCGGATAGGTTCGGTGTGTCTTATAATTGCACACTTAGCAGTGAGCATTATAATTTATATGCCGTATATATATACACACAAGTTAAACAGCGACTCTATTTGGCGGGCAACTCGAGCACTCGATGGTATCGACTTTTATTAGAACTGAAAGAAACAATCGTTGTTTAATTAACCGGAGTATAATATGCTTCAATATAATACGGGCTCACTACTACCCCAGATCATACCCTATTGAATCCAAGCTATGACATGTCCAAAATTAAAATATAAAACCGCTATACAATTAGGTGGAATTAGCTAATAAGAGATATAATAGGGAAGAAAGTGCAAGATATTTCTATACAAAATACATCTGAGGCTCTTTTTGTTCGAGAGCGGTGGCGAACTAAAATTAATTATCAATTGAAAATATTGTAACCATTACAAAATTATTTTTACTTATCATTACTGAACAGTAATGGTAAGGCCAACACTTAATAGTCGTTGAAATTTGAAAATTAGAAGTAAAAACTAACATTTGAATGCAATTGTATTGGGTTAATCTTTTTCATGCATGTCTTTTTTTGTGATACACTAAAACTTAGGTGGGTAAAACGTGGATAAAATATTTTTAGTTATGAAATAATATGAAAACAAATGCCTTAATTTCTTTTCATTTAAGCTCATAATATTTGGCTGATGTCTTATCCATTTATTTATTATCTATGGGAAAAGCAGAGATTATATTTTAAGTTTGTATTGTTTTTATCCGATATATTTTGTTCAAATTACTTTAACTTTGGCAAAAAAAATGTTAATTTGATTTTTAAAATTAATGGAATTGCTCTCTTTATAAAAAAAACCTGTCTCCATAAACGGATTTGCTCCTAATTTCATCAATGTTCATAGTAGTACGTTCATGTATAATTTGGTATGTACGTAAGGTCGTCGCGGTCATCGCGAATTAAAAAATATTCATTTAATTATTACTTTTTTTTAAAAAATACCTAGTGTAATTATTATTTTAGCTATCGCGTTAAGCCGGCCTCGAAAGGTGTGCCTGCCGAGTTTTAGAAAATGTTGTAATTACAGCGTTGGTGGCATCGCATGTTGGTATTCGCCGTATTTTTGTTTTTGATCTTTTCACGGGTGTTAATTGGTGTCTAGATAATTACTTGGCATTTAAAATTAAAGAAAATGATTGCTTATAATTTTACCAAATAAACGGTTGAAGAATGATTAGCTGATAACGTCGAATCCACGTGGGAACAATCAAATAGATTCATTATTAAATGTCGCCAGCGGATTGTACAGCAATATAAATAATTTATACTTATACTCATCTTGGCGAAATCCCACCCGATTATAGTGGTATCATGAAGAATAATAAAAGTAAAACCGTCTAAAAAAAATGTATATATTCATCAATTTAAATATTAATAATCCTAAAATTACTACAGTTATTATTGCACATGCAATCACGGTGTTTATTAAGTGCATAAAAGACAATATTTTAATAAATTTGTTATCAAGAGAGAGGCAATTATTTCTCGAGAGGACAAAATTAAAGTGCAAAACTATATTTTATGTTTAAACAATAATGTGATTGGGAACTTGATACTATTATGACTAATCAAGTATGTATAATTTCCTTATAGACTCTTTCCCATTTCTACAATTATTAAAAAAATACACCAGAAATCGAAGTTTCAATAAATTAATGTTTTATGATTCCAGGAAAAGAAAAAAAAATCTTATTAATAAAAAATTATTAAAATATTCTACTATAATTTAATCACTTAAAACCAGTTGTCGAATGCCTTTCGTTCTTTTCACTAACCCGTCACTGTATAGAACACTATAATAAAATAAATATGTTTTCTCAGCTCGGTAGTTTTTAATTTATTTATTTTGCATAATCAATAATTTTTATAATAAATACAAAGAACTGATAAATGTTAATGAAGCAAAAACTGTGTCAATTAACGTTCAAGTTAATTTCCCCCCTGATAACAATGTTTCCCAAATCAAGGAATCAAAATAGCATTATTCTGAAACGATGTCTACACTGAAAATTAAAATTTTACATTGACTTATTTACTAATATTGCTTACAATATATTGCTACACTGATATTGGCGGGGGGGGGGGATTTATAGTATTTGCTCTAAATCAGTGGATACTTGATACTAATCTGATAATTTTAGTTCTAAACTGAGTTTTTGGCAACCAACACAATTGCTTTTACCTAACCTTATTAATTAGAAGGTATGAAATAGAGGCGTCCTCTTTAAATACAATTATACCATGATGGTATTATGTACATCGTACAATTATACCATGATTTTATAAATAAAATGTTTTTCAACTACATAGTCTACATTCCAACTAGATAGTCTCGAGGTACCGTTAAAGTAAGGAAGCTAAACCGTATGTAAATAAGCCTAGGGAGGAAATTTATGTATTTACCACGTTAAGTAACGGACTAGAAGGAAATTAGGTGTGTGAGAAGATTTCATGCGAACTGTTTACTCATATTTTTCGATTTCATTATTATCATAACAAAAATTTGGACTTGGAGTATAATAATGTTGTACCTGTGTGGAGGGAAATCTTTTCCCAGCGTTGACTCGAACCATTTATACCGTGAGACCGACACTTCCACAGTTAATCACGTAATACCGTCAAGAGTTGGATTAAACATAACATTGTTATAGTTTGAAATACTCATAGAGAAGTGGAAAAGTGAAATTAGCGCAATTAACAAAATACCCGGGGATGAGCAATTACACGACAACTGTTTGCACCCATTGTAGAAAAATCACACCCGTTTAGTAGTCGCGTGCTAGTGTTGAAGTCATGAAGTCGTCTTGCAAGCTGTGTGAACGTGGAAAACCAAGTTTATCGCGCATATCCCATGCTTGGGTATTGCGTTTTCTCAAAGTGAGCCTTACAAAGTATCTGCTTAAAACTGTTTGGCGGTAAAATCACACATTGGTCAAAATCAATGTTGTTTAAATGAGGCGCTATAAACGATCTAATTCGTGTTCACGAACAATGGCGCATTTTCTTGGAAAAACGTGCATTAAATATTATTCTTTAATAAATTGATTTTTTGCTTTCTACAGGACCAACCTAGGCCTCCGGTTTACAACCCAGAGGATTATGCTGCGTCTTTGAGGAAATTCGGTAAGCGAGGTTCATCGTCAGACTCGAAAGATGTCGATTCGTCCAAGTCCAGAGAAATGGCGCTAAAAGAATTCACATCCGCCACCGAGCTGTTAGAAAAACTAAAAGCAGACTTGAAACTTGCATATTTCAGGTAAAGCCGTTTAAATATTTGAATGTACATGCTATTATAAAATTAGTTTTTCTTAACAGCCGTTAAGCAATTGTTTAATTAATTTTTAAAAAAATAGCATAGAAGATAAAGTAGTTTTGTTTTCATAACAGTGTGTTGAACTTTAAACTGTATAAGTACATATGGAAATACTTAAAATATGTACGTTATTCACACATAAAATAAATACAACACGTTTATTTAATCGCACTCTAAGAAGTATTATTTGATAATTTATTTATTTAATTTAGTTTTTCTATATTCCGAAAAATACTTCAACTTGTAAACCCTTTCAATTATAAATTTTAATATTTAAATAAAATAAAATAATTAAAAAATAAATAAGCATTTAAATACCAAATTTCTATTCATTTTTTAACAAAAAAAAATTGTTGCAAAAAAATAAATAAAATCATTTGGGATTTTGATGCAAAACCGAAAGTTTTTCATTTTTCAATAATTTTTTTTTTTTTATAATTATTATTAATTATTGTTGTTATTATTATTATTAGTGTTAACTGTTATGAAATATTTCCATTGCCACTTGTTAATAACTATTTTTATGGTGGTATTTTTTTTTTCTAAAGGAAAGGGCGACGGTTGGAAGAAAAACGATTTATATGTAAAACACTAGAGTATAATATTAGTCAGGCAAATAGGTCGTCGCGTTTAATATAACGAGAAGCGGATGGTATCGTAAACAAAAATCAATGCATTATGATTAGCGTACCTCGTTCTTATTTTCTATTCCTGTTTGATGCGGACTGGAAAAAAACTATAACATAATAATACCAAGTCCCATTGCCCTACTGTGCGTGTGAGTGTGTATAAAACCTTTAACCGCATTATATATATATTTTTATATGGAATAACGGTTATAACGCTACCAGGATTAATTAACTACAAAACCGGTATTAGCCATTTATTTCAGGTGTATAGATGTACCTATATGTATAATAATAACGTGTAAAAAATGAAAACGTAAACATTGCTAACCTAACCTAGTGGAATAAAATTAATTTATGCCATTCTTGATTCTCGGATTAATAGTGATAAATTTTAGTGTTTCGACCTTCAATTTTTTTATTGCGTTACAATAGTCACGCGTTAACCGACATTAATTGAATAAAATAGGTCGCTACAAAAATATTATGTTATACTAATGTGAATGTGTTTTTATTTTTATTTTTTAGTTTTGTTCAAGAGTTTGTCGGCGATCCCGTAGACGGAGTAACGTTGTTGTTGGAACTACTCAAGACCATCCAACAAAGTGGAACGCAAACCAAAGGCACGCCGGCAAATCAACGACGCGTCACGTTGGACGAAAACTCTTGTCTTCAATGCTTGAAGTATTGCTTACGCTGTCAAGATGCGTCGAGGAAGTTAGCTATATCGTCTGCCGGGCTCTACACTTTGGCTGCTTGCATTATGAGCACAGTCAACCAGTCGCGTATAATGACGTTGGAGGTTCGTGTGCAGTATAGTCAATAAATATGTAAAATTACAACAATTATGTGGTGTTGGGTCAAAAAAAGATAAGTAGGATTTTTAAAAATGATTCCGAAAAATATAAAATCATTCAAATTTAATTGACTAATAAACAACACGCTTTCTCACCAGCTCAGCTTAAAAGCTGACTTAAGTATGGATACGGACGATTATCAGGATTTTTGGGTTTATTTACTAAATAAAACGTTTTTCATATGTAAGTATGTAAAAGACTATTGGTTTGATAAATAAAAACAATAAATGCTTTTTTTAAATGCGTCTCCTGAAAATGTTCAAACGGACTACTTAGAAGTATAGAACCTTTTTAATCTTCTCGGATTTAAAGAATTAATTAATTTAAAAAAATAGTTTAGTGTCACTGGATCAAGCCGCCACGCTTAGTAAATAACTATTTTACTCTTTGTAGAGTAATTTTAAAAAAAATGTGTATAATAATTAGATAATTTGTTTATACTTAATACGCTAACAATTACAGCTGCTAACCAAGGCGTGTTGCGATTCGGGGACGGCGGATGGACACAATACGGTTTCAGACGCGATGAGTACGATGCGATTGAGGTTTGCCGAGCCGGTGCGATTTAGGTTCCTAGTTGGAATGATGTCGGGAAACGGAAGTTCCGGCATGGAATTGCTTTTGGCCGGTTTAAAATTCATAAACGCGTTCACGGAGACTAGTCCCGACCTTCAGACAAAATTCTACGTCCAGGCCGAACTCAAACAGGCGGGATTCAAGCCGGCCGCTATACTAAAGGTAAGAATTATTGTTATCGAAAAAATAAAGGGAAACCCAATTTTTTAACCCGTCCTTTTTCGCAGAATATTTCCAATAAGTCGCCGTTACTGAGTGCCGTTTCGGAAGAAATATACAGGTGGCAAAAAAATTTCATCAACGTGGAATCGCTAAAAAGACAACATGACGAGATCGTCAAAGAGGCCAAAGCGCTCAGGGAAAAAGTGTCGGCGCTAGAAAAGAAACTTCACGTAAGTTAACGTTGCATTAGTCGAAATATTATGTTGAACGGTTCTATGTAAAAACCGTATTTAAATATTAAGTAAACAGTACTTAATACAACTATTTAACATAAAAAAAACTAACCCTTTCTTCAAATTAGTATATAATTTACCACCTTATCAAATTGCTAAGAAATGAAACAAAATTCGTTTTAGAGATCTCATTCCGGAATTCCTGTAATGATCATTAAATAATAATAAAAATAATACAAGTCACGAAAGAATCAACGCCTCTTAAGGGTAAAATGACCAACTTAAAAGTAATTTAAACTAAAATGTTTAAGAGGAAATTATAATAATTGTATCCCTTTTTATTTTGTAATCTACATCACTGGACGCTGCACATTTTTGTAATTTATAAATACGTTATTTGTTTAGCTTCTCCAAGAAGAGAAACGCGTTGTTTCTTCTCGCAAAGACATCATCGACAACTCGCACAAAAGCAAAGGCAACGAAGGTGGTGGTAACTCGGCCGAGGACGAAGGCATTAGCTCGTCGGAACAGGACGACTGCGAGGAAGAAGTGTCGTCGAAAAAGGGTAAAATCCCCTACAAGATGTACAACCTGTCGCACGACGACACCACCGTCGAAGAAGTGCTCGAGGACTTCGACAAAGTCATCAACGACGCTTCCACGGAATCGGACGACCGGAAAATGTCTTCGGTAAGCAGCGATCAACTGTCCAAGAGGTCGTACGACTACCCGCCTTCTTACACGGACGACGCGGCCATCATACCCACTAGGATCGTTCCGGAACCGCCGAGGAGATCCCGAAGCCTGTTCGTCAACAAGAACTTCGAAGTCAACCCGTTCTTCGAAGACGACGAGGACAGCGCGGACTCGGTTTGCGCTTACGAAGACGAGGAAGACGACGACAAGTCCAAAGTCAAGAGAAGCGAAACGTTCCATTCGGTTCAGAAACAAGTCAAACGTTTCTCGGACCTGGCCGCGCACGGTGGCAGAGGAGACCGCGAAGACGTCAAAAGGGAAGAAGGCCGGAGGAAGTCCATTTACGACGTGTTCGGCCCCGTCGAACCGAGACGACCGCACCTACCCAGCCGGCAAGTCACGAGATCAATAAGCACGAAAAACGTCACCGAGTCCAGTAGGATACCCGTGTTGCGGTTCGACCAGTGCAAGCCCGAACGGTCCGTGTACTTGCCGACCGGCTGCAGGAACGCCAAAGAGCCCAGGGGCTTCATGACGAGGGGCCACAACAACGCCGGTCTATACTCGGGGTACAAAGACACCAAGAGCGTCAATCCGAAACACCAGACGAGCTCCAACATTAGTTCGAGCAGCCTAAAAGCCCTGCAACACATCAACATGTCTGTGTCGACGGGAAAACTCACCGATTTCCCATCGGGACTCTATTAGACTGAATATCTAAGACATACACCCTAAGGTTACGTCGTTATTATATTATATTTATATTAATTTTTATTATTTTTAACTTGTTCCCTAATTAATTGCACTGTACAACACGTTCTTAAGCTTTTGAGCTGGCTAGACAGCTCTTTTTTTTTTGTTAAGGAACAAGAATCAAAATGGTCAATGCATAATATCGTCTATAAGATATGGTACAGCGCGTCTATGTTTTCTGTAAATCAATAATACAATATGATTTGCTAACTACAGCCTACAGGGCTTTTTAGCATTTTTGTACAGCTATTTTAAATTTATATTTTCAGTTTTGCTCTACATATTTATATTAAGCGTGATGTAATTTAAATATTTTATTTTATTATAAAATACCAATAATTACACCTAATCTTAATAAAAAGATACAAATTAATCAACGTAAATGTATTTAAATACAAGACACCAATTACAACAAATTACCATTCAACCCGATTAATTTATGCTAACATTTGACCTAAATTTCTTAATAATTATTAGTATTATAATTATCCCTTTCCAAACTGGTTAAATAACATCGGTCAATTTTGACTGAAATCCTACAAACATTAAAATTAGTATTATTGTTGACTAGGATATATTGAACCTAACCAGTTAGTCTATCATCCAAAACACATCACATTTGTTCATTATTAAAGTTTCAAAAATATCTGAATATGTTTTTGCACACAAATTAATATTTGGTTGTATGTGAAAAATAAAAATAAAAATTTACAAATTTATTTTCGTTAAAAAAAACTAAATACGATAAAATAATTCTAAAAACATTTTTGAGTTCAGAAAACAAAAATCGTTTTAAATAAAAATATAAAAACAATTGTGTCAATTATTTGAAGTATACACCAGATGGTTTTAGATCATCTTTAACAAACTCATCATTAGTAGTAATGTTTTTATTAAATGTATTGTTTGTTACTGTTCGGTAAATAATAATAAAAATACTGATTACATAAATACTACTAATTAAAAGCGATTGACTGTTAGTATCTATATTTTATACGAGTATTAAACAAAATATTAAAATAAGTAGTAAATAAAATTGAATTTCTATGTAGGATGATTTCACTAGCTCACAATATATTGAAAATATTCGAAACCCATTTATTTCACAATTTTTGAAGAGATTTATAAAAAAACTAGACACGCTGTAAAAAATCTGAGATCAAATTCCAATTTAACGAAAAATATCTTAAAAAATGAATTTATTTTGGTCCTTGTTTTAAAATCGTGTTGTACGATGTTATTTAAAAAAATACTCAATTTTTACAATTATTAGATGGTTATATATCAATTTTATATATGTACATTATTTTCTATAAATAATAACTCATGTTTAATGGTACATTCTCTCTGCCAGATTATTTGAGACGTACTAGAATTGTTTTTTTCCCTTAATAGTATATTTTGTATTATATGGGTTACCGTTTGACTGAAGCTAGTATCTTTATCTACCCAACCATATTATATACTATGTATTTTATAGAATCCTCAGCCTAATTTTTAAATTCTTTTCCAAAGTTAAAATATGATATCTATTAATTAAGAATTCTTATTAGCCTTTAAGTAATATTTATAAATATAGCTATATATGTATTTATATTCCACATACAATTTTCTCAATATTTTGTATGTTTTTCATATTAAGAAAGAGAAGTTTACCTAAAATGACATAATTATTATAAATAAGATGCTAGAGTTTATTATATATAATACATCTTTGGTCCCAGGTAGAAAGGGCTTAAGTCAATTTTACCAATTATTTTGCCAATTGAACCAAAAAATCAGCAAAAATCAAGCTTTAAATCTACGGAAAAGAAAAATATTGTGAAAAACTGACTTAAGCCCTTTTCTACCTGGGACCAAAGACATAAAGATAAGTTTTTATCATTTAGTTATTTTATACCCTACCTATTGAAAAGTAAGTGCAATATTTTTGTATAAAAATAATAATTATAAATAAACGAGTACAATGTGTACAGTTTTAACTTTTAAGTTTTTTTTTGTTTTTACTTCTCAAACAGCCTTCTCAAATAGATAAAAGTTGTACAAATAATTGTATTTTCAAAAATACACATAGTTTTAATAATATATACATAGTTTTTGTAATATATTATAATATTTATTACCAATGTTCGCAATTCAAAAAATGATTATGATTTATAAAATATAATCTATTTAATTATACATGGAAATATATTGGCTTTACATCCGTAATACTTTTGTTTTAGTTTTTTTAATGTAGACTGTAGTAAGATCTGGTGTAGTGGTGGACATTCTGCACAAAAAATAAATGACCGCTACAACACGAAACATAAAAACAAGATCGTTCTTCAAGATCAATATTATTGTCATTGCCTTGATATTCGTCCAGAAAAAATGGAATCATTTAAAATATTAATATAGATTATAAAAGTAATTATCCCCTTTAAGTTTTTAAGACATAAGAGGGCGTCGCCTCGGTGATTTTCAGTGGTAAAAACATGTTTAAGCAGACTGAAGATAACTCGCTTAATTTTGATTTTAAAGTAAAATCACCCAATATAAAATTAAAAGAAAACAATATTCTGAAGGGCACCAAGGTGCGTTTTTAAAAAAAATTTTTTTTTACAGTCATTTAAAAATATTGAAATAGTTGTTATTTCTAAACGACGTATTAAGCGTTATACTTGAAATAATGAAAAAAACGCACCGTGGTGCTCTCCGTAATATTGTTCTCTTTTAATTTTACTATGGGTGATTTTACTCTAAATCCAAAATTAAGCGAGTTATTTTCAGTCTGCTTAAACAAGTAGAGATGAAAAAACATTTTTAAATCGCTTTCAAGGATGCTGTGATAGTCCAAAAAATAAGCTAACTACCAATATAGTCTTAGTTATTGAACTAATAATTACACATCACAGTTTAACCTTTAAATTAAGATTTTGTAAAAAATTGCCTATACTTTACTCCTTAAAAATGGGCAGTGCGACGCCCTCATAAGTCTTAAACGTAATTTAGACCAATGCTGCTACGCCTTATCATAACATTTAAACAAACATTATAAGTAAACCTACCTAACTTAAAGCCAAAAAGTAATTTGTTTTTGTTCATTAATTTCATACAGGTTAGGTTAGTTTTAAGAAGTTTTAAACGGCAAAACAGGCTGTTATACTGGTTTCATTTATAAACGATAACTTTTATACATACATAAATAATTTTAAATGTTAACATAAACTGTTAAGGAAAAAGGGAACTGTTAAATTTGATACCTGGTTAATATAGTACCAAAAATAAACCCCAGTCCAGTTGTCTATTTATTTAGTGATATTAGAATAAGGCTATGCAGAACATCTTGTATTTGTATTGATGAGGAGGTATCCGTTTTTTCAACCGGAGTCGTTTTGAAGCAAACTATATAATAATTCAATCTAATGGCGGACTTCAAATTAAGCTGACTAGATAATATGTGAAACTTCTACTACCTATAAAAACACTTAGTGCATTGACAATAAATGGCCATATAGTATGGGATAGTAACACTATTATTACATATCTTAATAGATGACAATAAGATATTGTATTTTAGAATCAGTCTAATAATTAACCTCAAAACCATTCAAATAATATTCTCCCGTGCTCAAAGATCAAATTATTCGAACAAATATGTATTTTCATTTTCATAACAATACTTTAAACGAATGTAAAAATCCAGAAGTTGAAATGAAAAATACTAATGCTATAAAATAAATGACCTACAAGTATTGGATATTATAGTAGGTTCAGAATTAGGTATGGTCGTTGGAACTATGGGCTCAAGGTCAGGGTTATTTCGACCAATATTTTATACCTTTTTCCATTAGTTTTATGACTCATTTTATTGGTGAGTTAATCGATGTAAACAGATGGTACGTCATAGATAAGTATCTATTTACAAACACATATTTGTAAACTGAATTCTGCAAAAAAATTAAATGTTTTCATAATATTATTAATTTATTTATTATTTAAAAAAGTAAGTACAAATTTATAGAAAATAGAAAATCATTTAATACTATCAATAAAAATGCATATCAATTAACTCATTACTTTCAAATTATTATCTTCTTCGGGATTTTAAATATCTTAGTAATGATTAAATAATCGAATAAGTAATAACGGTCGACCTAAAAAAAATGTTTTGTTTACATATTTATAGGGAACTTGTGGTATCCATGTCGATCACTTCATTAAAAAAACTGACAGTTCTATGTGAAACAAAAACCAAATCTAAGTAGGTATTATGAAAAACGGTTATTTACTATTTAGGATTATTGTACTTACTCGAGCAGCGAGCTGTTATCATAACGTTAATATTTAAAGAAAAAATAAACAAAACGATCAATACAAATATTTCACTGCTGAGATAAAAGTGAACGATAAAGAAATTGTCCACCTCTCGTGCTATCAATCTAAAGATTACCCTTAACAAAGAACTTGTTCTCAAATATTTGACATACATACATAAGTACATATACAGTCATTAGACTTTTTTTGCTTATGCCCAACTCTACAATTAATAATGAGTTTATTGTATTATTTAACATAATCTAAATTGTAAAAAGAAAGACATTTACCATTAACAAAGTTGTGCTACGGAGGGAGGGTCACAAATAAGGCAGGGTGTCCAAAAAGCAGTTGTCCTAAGGTACTTATAATGGTTAGCACGGCATTGGCCCTAATCTAACCTCAGTTTTTAATCCATTGTAGTTTCTTACTAAAAAAATAATGTAAACAAATATTTGAAGTAAATATCTTAAATATAATCTTAATTCTTAAATATTCGAGACTAGAAATTACGAGTTTCATTATAAGTGTAAGGTTTTTATTTGTTATTTTTTTAAAAACACTTTACCTCCTTCCCCTTGAAAATTCCACCCATTACTCACGAACTTAACACTTTCCTGCGACACTAATTGTTTTTATTATTGTATAAAATTCTAAAAATAATACCTACTGACAACAAATCAAAGACTATTATTCAATTATTAGTAAAAGTTGGTTCCTACTTAAAGCACTATAATAGAAACATGATGTTAACTACATACATATATGTATATATACAATGCGTACAGCTTACAAATTCTTTGTTTGCCAGCTGGTAAAAAGCCAACAATTGCTATTTGTATTTTTAATTTAATTAGCGTATAATACCTAAATAAATTACACGGAACTTGAGGTTTGCTAGAATGAAATGTAGTCTATTTTTATCAAAACATTGATGCTATTAAAAATTAATGAAAATAAAATATCTAATAAGTGTTAATCTTACCAAAGTGTTTTATATTCATCTGACTTCCATTTATAAAATATTACATGTACATATATATATGTAGTAAAATATTTTTCTAGAAATCCCACTTCAGAATTAACTTTGCTTGAAAACTTCTTACTATAAAAAATATATATTTTTATAATTTATAGTTAATTATTATGTATAGCAGAATGTAGTATACGTATTAATAACTTTCAACTTGAAGAAATTAATTACATTTATTTTTTGTTAACTTTATTAATACTTGGCGGCTTTTGTTTTAGAAATTCTAATGTTATACACAATTGATTTGTAATTCTATGTTTATAATTAAATAAATTGTAAAATTATTTTTTAATAAAATGTCCAGCTCATCCCAGCCTACTGCTCTTAAGGACTCCAATTATGTTTCGCCATATAGTTCTTCTACTTCTCGGTTTGTTCTTAATTCGAACTTCCCTCGAGCATTTCTTTTTGGTCCAAATATCCTTCTAAGGACCATTCGTTCAAAAGTGGCTAGTTTATTTTCATCTGTCTTTGTTGTTGTCTATGCGCCACAGACGTATAGTGTTAGGCGTATAGTATTTTAATAAAATAATAACATTTATTTCTAGACTCAAATATTCATTGGCGGATCGATTGTAGTCGGTTCAATGATGTATCCTATTTATGTTTTGTCACAACTGAAAAAATATGCACCAAAGAATATTGTATTAAAACCGAGAAAGACTGTAATAATTAAATGATGCGATTTTCGATTATATCTATAGATGCACTATGCACTCAACATTTTTGCTACATAACAAACGTTGTACTTATTTATTAGATCAGTTGTCGAAAAAAAAACCGTTGCTTTATTTTATGAATGGGTAAAAATAATTTATATTTAACTTATTATTCTTAAGGTATTTTTACAGTACGTCTTTAACTGTTTTATTATAAATATAGTCCTAGGAATTTCTCAGGAATCTCTGTTTACCTACATTAATGGTGTTATCTACACCTATGTTGTTCACGATTAAAATTTTAAATTTTAATTATATTATAGGTATGTATTTTCCAACTTATGTATTTTTATATATGTTTAATATCATTAACTAAAACATTTCACACACTTTGGGCATTTAGATGACAAACATACACTATAGTTACAACCATTATCTGCAATAAGGAGCAATAATTGTTTCTCCTAATTTTTTTTTTTTTTTTGAGGGGCAAATGTGATTGTTTTGATTCTTAAATTCGGAAATCGAATTTCATAACTTCCGGCATGACAATATGTATTACTTGTATTCCTTAACAAAAAACAAAACAAATCCAAATTTACAAAAACCAATAGATGCTACAAACAGATAACTTCTTAAAAAAAAAAAGTAAACGCCAAACTGAATTGTGATTAGTACAATAGTATCTACCAGAACAGGAATTCGGATGTTAGTGTTGGTTTCGTTGTATTATTTCCCCCCTCCCCCCCGCACAAGGACCCCGCCCACCTAGAATTTACTCCAAGTTACAGATTATAACAAGTGGCTAGTAGGAAACAACTAACATAATATTATTATTATAGTGTGTAGGAGAGATTGTTGTAACGAGTCGTGGTGTTGTCAAAAATAATAATTATAATAATTATTAGACGTTGGCACACAATCCACGGTCGGTTATTTGTTGAGAAAGTCGACATTTTTCACTTCTGTTCTGTGATGTTGCAAACGTCAAATGTTTACCTAGCGCCACCTGTAGACGTCCGCTATAATAGTAACAACAACATTATTGTCTCGTTGCAAATACAATTATTTTTCCGCTGATAATAATATAAACACACCAGAAACGATGGACTTCCCCCATTGATAACGCTGTCGCTGTATTGATTTTACTGTAATACTATAACTCAGGACCGTGTTTCTTAGTGGAATTGTGTTATTATTATTATTGCATAATTATAATATTTAAATGAAAAGTTAATTGTTGTCGTCGGTCGTTTACCGTTTTTCGACGGAGAGCTTCCTACATTGTAGTCGACTGTCACAGTGGATGGGCAGAGCAGAGTTTTTGCACTACCTTGTGTGGGCTGTAGCGAGGAAAAACAAGAGGTGGCGCACGTACAACAATAATTTTTGTGCGCCTCTCAAAATTCAAATCACGGACAAATAATAAATATTGCCGGCCAGCATATCGACGCACATCACTCGGAATATTATGAAAGTAGTGAATACCGTTTTATCGCCACAGCCAACGGTTGCACGACGTCACATACGCGACAATCGTTTCGGACCACCGTAAACGTCCAAGTGTCACGTAAGTATTTTGGGTTTAGCAAACTTTGTTGTGGTTGTTATACGGTGTGAACATTGTGTGTTTTTTTCATCCAGTTGACAATGACTAATGGATATTGATCGCTCCATAAATGGCTGGTTCAAAAGAATAAGCTCGATACAGAAAAGAGCCGACCACTATAAGCTGCAACAAGACATTCTTTCGTAAGTCGGGTTTCTGAAATACGTCTTCTTCGTAATATGCCTAATACTTGTCGGCTAATGTTACAGATCGTTATCCGACAAGGACGGCTGGGACGTTTGCATCAAATCGAAAGGACTGATATTTGGTGCACACACTTGCATTTTACGCTGTCGTTGTCCTCGGTTCTACCACGAAGTAATAAAAAAATTTGATCTTAGCGATTTACCACTCCACTTGTTAGAACGTGTATCGCATTTCATTAAGTAAGTACTATTTTTTTTAGTTAACAAACAAATTTAGATTAGGTAGCAAACCAAAGTGTGTTTGCTAAAATAGGTTTGAAAACTAAAATCCAACAATATGATGAACTTAGTTATTTGGTGATAGTCAAAGTAGGTAAATCTCTTTTAATCACAAATTAATAGCTCAAAACGTCTAATAATTTGTACCTATATAAGTACATAAGTTTAACGTTAATTTTTAAAAATTATTATTTAAGGATTCTGTTTACGTTGGTAAACCGTCATAGAAATATCATCTCAAATTTAGTATGATTACATATCACTAAATATTAAGGATGCCATCTCTTTTATCGGAAAATGTTATAGGTTGTTGAAGGATACGGTCCGTAATATGAATGAATAGATTATACTTAAGCCATAAATACCATATTAGAGCTGTTATCATATCTGTTAATAGATTATTGTCAAATAAACAGAGATAACATTTAACTTTCACTTGGTTCATCTCCACTGAACCACTAAGTTTTTCCTGAAAAAAAAAATTAACTTCCACCTGTAGATTATTTATACATTATATTAAATCATACGAGTGTTGTTTTCACAACACTTTCACTATTGATAACTGTTTAAATTCTACAAACATGTCGAGAACATTAAAGTTTTATTATTTAATTTTAAAAAATCTGTTGTTTTATTCATTTATATTGTACAACTATCAATAGTTTTATATTGATTGTTCCGCATAAGGGGTTGAATTGGCGGTCACTCTAGTTGAGGTAACTTAAACACTAAAGGAGTTATTTTGTTGTCTGTATAATGATTCACACTTGTAAAATTATTTTATTTATACTTTTTTTTATAAGTATGCCTTATAAAATATTAAAAAACTGATAAATTATTGTCGTCACTCATTTCAGCATAATTTCACTTCTTAATATCCAAGGAATTTACAAGACTCTTGATATCAAAAATAATGTATTACCTAGTGATATTTAAATAATGTATAATATCTACTATTCGTAGGATATCTAGGTAAGATATATAAAAATATCACTTTCTGCGAACAACGTCGCATGTACACCTACCCTTGTTTGCATGGTTTCACTGATTCTATTTTCAGTACTATTTTCTCTAGGATATAAGAGTAATAATTTTTCCAATTTAAAAAATCTATATTAATATCATAATATTTTCCCTGGTTTGAAAATTGATGCTTATACTTTGTAGTTTTCGAATAATAAATTCCTCTTTGATTAACATAAACATAATCAAATATTATACCATCACTATTACTAATATTAAGATATAAAACAAAAAATAATCTAATAACAATTATTTAATTGACTTCATTTTAACATTTCAATTGTGGTTTGGGTAAAGGTTTATTGAAATATTTCATTAATTAACATATGTTGTTCTCTGTTGCTTAATTTAAGATACCTATCGTTTAATTTAATTATTACTATGTTCATAGGATGCAATTCAAATGTTTTGATATTCTCAAACTATCTAGTGTAGACATAATGATATTTTTTTCAATTAATCAAAATTTATATAAATGAATTGATTAAACTAAATTTAAAAAATAATTTATCTATATTTTGGTTAATAATTAATATAATTTATTATATTCTGTATAATAAATTATCAATTACATTGTGATTTTAGTTGATACATCCAATACCAACTTATATTTGTTATAAACAGTTAATGGATTTTTAACAAATAAATATTAGGTATTCAAATGAACGTTAAGTCAATCATTTTACTATTGATTAATCTATTATTAAAAAAATGTTGACTGATTATTTAATAACTAATTTATTTTATTGTCTTCTAATTAACTAATTTTTATTTTATTTTTTACAAAAAATTACAATCGATCAGATAAAAAAACAACGCACAGCCCTAACCTTATGCGAACTTTCCATCGTTCTGAACGATCTAGTTTTAAACATTTTTAATCGCTTTATTATACGTGTAAACGTAATATTTTAAAAGTTATATTATACAAATTCGTTTGATTTGGTATTTTGTAACATTTAAACTTATTTAACAATTACTTAGTTACGGTTATGGTATAACTTTTATTTAATTTGAATATTAATTTTAAATTTTAACCCAATGTATTGTTGTTTTTTTAAACATTTATAATCCTATCAGTATTATTAAACTGTTATTTAGACCTATTATTTTCTTTATTTAAAAAATGTATTTTACATAATATTTTTTCCTGTCTACAGGTGTTTATACTCTGAAAACGATATTACAAGTAGTGAAAATGAACTAATTGAATCGGTCAAGGCGTATTATGCCGATAAAAGTCAACTTTCAATTATCGATACATACAAATCTAAACCCATCTCGTGTGATATAAATCGTTTGTATTATTCTTTGTCGCATGTCGATGATTTTTCATCAAGCGAATTTAGTGATTATGAGCAAAATGCGTACGACGACATCGAATCAGTTATTGTAAATCAGGCCATTATTGGTCGACCTAATAAACGCAACATGAACGTTAATTTGGACGCTCTTAACAAAACATGCGAGTCACAACCAAATGATGCTAATGAGTGTTCAGATTCTCTAGTTAGTAAAGCGGACAGTTTTTTAGAAGATTGTTTAGCAGATTGCATTATTGATGCTTCGAGTTTGGGCGACGAAATAAAATTAAAGGCGAGTGTAAAATGTGAAACCGAGAATGATGTGTTAGAAAACACTTTCAACGATACCAAAATAATTATAGAACCTAAAGTTTCTTCAAATTTCGTAGCAGAAAAACAAAATGATTTACTAGATTTAACGACCAATGTTCAAGAACGTAAGGCCACCCAATTAGTTGGACAAAGTTTGAGTGATAATAATGAAGGCTGTAATTTCAATTTGGACAACAATATTTTAGTTCAAAATTCAGATGATATTAAAAATGCAATTAACAAAGACGAAAATACTGAAAAATTGTCTGAAACTACAGTGGACGAGTTTGATGTTATATCGCCTAGTAATTTTGAAACGTTTACTGTTATAAAAAAAGAAACTGATACCAAAGAACCAACCTTAGTAGAAAACAATAATTCACATGCACAATATAATAGTAAAGAAAATAGTGAAATATTAAACGAGCCGCTTGACTTCCAAACATTCACAGTTGTAAATCAGAATAATGAAATACATGATGCCGAGACCGCCGATTATAAAACGTTTACTGTTGTCAATACAGTCAGTACCCCATTGTCTTCTCCTAATGAACAACGTCAAGAATCTTCATTGATATTATTAAACAACAAAACCCTTTCGGAAGATACTAAGGTTTTAAATACAGATACAATGTGTGTAATAGCAGATGCGCCATCAAATTTTGAAACGCTTACATTAATAACTCCGTCAATTGATCGTAACACAGAATTAAAAAAAGATGTTGTTAAAGAGTTACCAGTGTCCAAAATTGAAAATACAATGGTTATTCCGCCGTTTAAAGATAAAATTAATCACAACAAATTCCTTTGTGAGCCTGATACCTGTGAAAAAGAAACTAGTCCAAGTCAAAGACGTGACTACCAAAATGATTTACAGCAAACATTTACAATGTCCAATGACAGTGTTACACCTATCACTAATGTAGAACTGTTGAAAAATACCAACTCGGTCAACAAAGAAACTTCTAACACAAACAGAAAAAATTTGTCTGGCAGTGAAAATCCAAGTAAACAAACCAAAACACAAATGGAAAGTACCGGTGAATCAGATAGTACTCTTAGTTTACATTTGGATGTTATAGAATCTAATAAAAAGGGACTGAACTCGCCTGATTCTTTGAACGACGACAACGTGTTTGGCAAAGATGAAAAACCCGTAGTTTCGAATAAATTAGAATTTGTTCCTTTGGGTGCGGAACTAATCAAAGATAATAGAAGTCCTCGTTTGTCCAGAAAATATATGGAATGTTCACCTGTGATATCAGCCAACGCTTATGTTCCCGAGGAAGAAAAAACTAATACTGTTGATGAAAATAATAGTGAGCGAAAAAATTCAAGTTCATTTTTCATTGATTTTAACCCGGGCAAACCAAAAAACCGACCCAAACGATTTGAAAGCGTGACCAAATCATTGGATTCAAGTACTACAGCTTCGAATAAAGAAAAAATATTTTCAATGTTCATTGACTTCAACGAAGATTCAGAATCTAGCGAGTCTTCATCCAAAGGTATGAAACATCGTAAACCCCAAACACTAGCCGACCGATTTGTTCGTATGCACAGTGAAGATGCCTCGATCAAAACCAACGAACCAGATAACACAGTGACTCCTCCGCCTAGTCGAATGACATCAACTGTGGACAATTCGTCAGTCGACATTACCGAGACGTGTAAAAAACAAAGTGTTTTCATGTTTATCGAAAACGATATGCCAGCAGTTGTGAAACGAAGATCGCTGCCACAAAGCTCTAGACTAAAATCACAACGCAATTCTTGGAATGTTGACAGCACCGTTACTCACAAAACACATCAAAGAACTCATAGCGTAAATTTGTCCGAAGATGGGCAATTCGATTCCCGAATGACTAAAAGTCATATCGAAACTGGAACCAAAGAAATAAATACACCATCCGATGTGTTTAGCGTAGAGTGTAGTGTTAGCGTTACCGTTAACGGTACAAAAGACAGTGGTATTGGTTTGGTTGAACAAGATTCTTTTGTACGTTTATCTGATATGGACAAAGCACCTTCCCAAGAAGTCATTAACAGTTTAACAAGAAGTGAAACAAGACCAGAGTCGACTAAACGAAATTTGAAAAACACAGAATTGGGTCGATGTCTAAAACGAATGTTCCCTTATTTAAAAAGCACAGAAATAGAACGTATATTGCATTCAAAATCCCCTAAGTCGCTTGACTCTATTGAAGAAGTAAAATCTGGCCTCGGACGAGATCTCCTCCGAATGTTCTTAGAAGAAATTGGGGCCGACACAACAATTGATATTAACGGAAGGCGAATTAGAGCTCATAAATGTGTACTTACTTCGAGATGTCAATATTTTGCAGCTATGTTCAGTGGCGGATGGGTGCAAAGTGCCGGAAATGTATTGTACTTAAAAGGGTAATTTTTTTAAAATGTTCTGTAATTATTAATTATTTAACCTAATTGTTTGTTTTCATTCTTATTGTTCACAGTTTTTCCTACAAAACTGTCCATTTAACACTCCGATACATTTACAGTGGAGAATGTAATTTCTCAGAAATAAAAAATGTTGCCGAACTGTCGAAATTAGCCGATATGTTATGTCTTGAAGGATTAAAAGATAACATCATGTTGTATCTGGCAGCAGAGTATTGTCATTTTTTTAAAGAAGTAAGTAATCTACAATGGTGTTGTCGTGGAGTGTACTCATCTCCTACTTTTCTATGAGTGTGTATATGTTTCTATTCCTGTACTTACAACAAAAGTTTCGGGAGACCTTTTTCTATAATTAGAAAAATGATAGTTAGGTGGCCCCGAAGAAGAAGATTCACTTGAATAGAATTTTTTCCCGTATCCAATAATAAATATTAAAAAGTTTTATGTTCTAAAGTCAATAATCAAAAGGCGCAATTATAAGTTGATTAATGTTTTGGGCAGAAGTGTACACACTTGTCACCAGTGTTATCTTATCTGTGGTCATTTTTACAGCGTACTCTTAAGGAATTAGTCAGAATCTAAATGTATAGTCTTACTAGTAATTTTTGAGTAATGTATAATTATAATTTCAAGACTGTAAAAAACTTTATTTTCTAATTAAAATTGTTCAATCAGTATACCATACATTTATGCTTTGCGGCTACACCGCTGGACTTATCGACTAAACATTAAAAAAACAAATTTATTTATAAGTGCTGTATCTATGTTTGACTTTATCTCTAATTTCAGGTATGTGACCGGTGTACGATAGGAATTCTAGAATGTCTGACACTGAGCGTTGCGTATGGTCTTGATGACCTTTATTTATCATGCATAGTTTGGATCAATGACAATTTCTCGGTCGTCTGGCCGTCCAAACATTTTGTGGCGCTGCCTCAGGATCTTAAAACAAAATGTTTCAAACACAAAGTTGCCCATATTGATGTAAGTGGTAAATAACTGTACGAATGTCAATATTTGCTACATTTATTTCTTGGTTTGGTATTTTTAGGATTTAAACGATGTTCTGAGCGTTACTAAAGGCTGTGAAAAAATAAAGAAAACAATTCCTAATGACGAATGGGCTAAAGAGCTAATAGACCTAACGACGGAACTATCAAATAGCGTGATAAAATATTTAGCCAAAAACTTTTATTCTACAATTACATCAAAATAGTAAGTCATTGACTAAAATTATTATTGTGTTTTTTTCAGACCCTAATTTTTGTTTTTTTGTCCACAGTTTTAAACAAATACTAGAAACTGAAAATTTATTCGTCGATAGTTTTGCCACACATTTATTGGCTTCTTGTAATTGTGCTAACAGAAATCAAATACGACAAGCATATGACCATTTGAACAAATCATTGTCTAATAATTTCTGGGTAAAGACTTATCCAATCCAATATATTTTACTACCATAATTTATTAATCATCATACAATTTTTTTTTAAATTTATTTATTAGCATTCACAAGGAGAAATTTTAGTTAATGCGATTATGGAGTTAATAGTCAAAGGTTTAGCGGGCGATTTTAGAACTGGACGCGAAAGACAAGCGATCGGCAGTCTCCCGAATGATCACCGTATGTCTGATGCTCTCGCTAAGTGTATCGCTGATGAGTTGGGTGTACCCGAAACGGATATAATTCCAAATAGTAATTTGGTCACATCTAGTCCGGCCAAAAAGACAGTAATGACTGCTAAACCAGTAAACAAAACGCCAGAAGTCAAGACCAAAATTAAACTTGTTGAAAACACTCCAGTCGCAAAGCCAGTGAAAACTACTCAAAAATTTGCTGAGGTTGATGGAATTACTTATCAATTTTTATTATCATCAAATGCTAATAGTTGTATTTTGTATTTAGGTTAAATCCAGGTATATGGAACCGAAACCCCAATACACTTCACCAACGCCTCAGAAAATGTTGGCTATCCATAAGAATTTACCTCGCGGTCGTCGTATTAACACATCAACATCGTTGACGTCATCGCCAAATGTCAGGAACACTATGCCTAACGTTAGATTATCTACAAATCGTGTAGACACTGGTTTGAAAACTAAAACGCCGTCGGAAGTGTCGTTGACTACTCCCAAAACAAGACCGAGAATGTCATTGCCTAAAACTGATCCTCCGCCCACCACTCGAGAGTCAAATATAGTATCGAGAAGCACGCCGCGCTCTACTCGAAGGCCTGTCACAAACATCAACATTGTCAACCGAAAAACATCAACCTGTGAAAAATCGATGAATAGTGTCAAGAAACAAGTAATACCGCCAAAGACTAAAACATTACCAAATGGTCATCCCACTATCGGATCCAGATCGGGTACGTTTTGCAAAGACGAACCAACGGTTCTTCATAGTAAAGACATTACGACATAATTAAAAAAAATACTCAATCCATTTATTGTTGAAATATACATAAAAAAAAAATTTAATTATTGATACTTAATTTAAACAACAAACTTGTTATCTATTTTTTATGCATTTCTCTTTTTTTTCTATTTTAGTTAGCCTTTAAAATTTAAATTTATCCTTTTAAGTTTTTTTTTTAAAAATATTTTTATAAACTTTGATGAAATTATTTTATTACTTTATATAGTCTAATGTTCATTATTATTTATAAAAATAATTTATATTACATTTTAGGTGTATACTATGCCAAATAATTTTCTGATAATCCTAATCGATCAGTCATGTAGTTGAATGATACTAATAATATTACGCTTAAAGTTGAATTTAAACATTTAATCTTTATAGTTCATGCACTATTAATTAGATTATATTTTCGTTTGCATAATAATTTTTATTTGCCCTACTTTGTATTTTATAATATTTGTTATTATTCAATAGTCAAAGTAAAAAAGAAAATTGTATTCCTTTAATTTCCCATAATGATCTCTAATCAAATATTTACACTGATTAAATATTACAAATTTATTCCTTTCTTCTAACTATAATTTTTTTTTTTTTATTAAATACATCATTTAGTAATTGCAAAAATATTTTTTTTGGTTTTTACAGCCGTGCAATTAATATATATATATTTATAATCATTATTCCTAACTGTTGGAATAACTGTTGCATTATTATTTGTAGTAGTCATCTATTATAATAATGTATATATTAAATAATAATAATACTATTTTATATAAACACATGTCCAAAGTTTAAAGTTTAAGAATATTTTTATTTTAACTTGTTTCATTTATTGTTAAATTTTCTTGTTAAACATTTTCTCAGAAAATGATATTTTCAGAAATCCCTATGAAAAAATACAATATATTAAATAATTTATTTGTTTTTATTAATGAAAAAATTAAAATCCTGATTTTTTTACACACACAAAAATAATTTTAATATATATTATAAACTAGTCATTGTGCCATTTTTTATTTATGAGATAGGCATAAAAAATATAAATGTTTTGTTTATATAATATTATGTATTTAAGTTTGTAAACAAAACCTTATATTATGTATTGCGGAGTCAATATACAATCACAATTTTGTCTAAACTTGGACGTGTAATGGTTTCTTTAACCATTTTATAATGTAAATACTGTCCGTCCGAATTCCAAAGATAGTTAGTAGTTAGTTTTAATTTTAATTTTTTAAACCTACAATTTACACAACTTTGTTTTAGAAATAATTGTGCAATTTAAAAAAGTGCAATGTCTATCGACGTTGTGTATTCAACTGCCATTTTTCTGAGTACTTCACTTAGTGTACTTAAAAAAATGGTAAGTGAGTACACCCTACGCTGGATATAATATTTATTAATTGTCTGTGAATACAAATACAGTATAAGAAATTGTTTTTAACCGAGCCTCTATTTTAAGCTTTAGTGTTTGTTGCCTTGCTGCTGACGTATCCTAATTTTATTATTATTGTGCATTAAATGTGAAATATTTTCAGTAAAAAGATTAATGATATTATTTTATAATCTCTCTAAGCAATTTATGATTCATTTAAAGTAATATGTATATAACCGTGTAGATAAAATTATATTATATTTTAATTATGTTAATATTATAATTTATTTTTATGTTAATACTACTATTTTAATAGCTCTCTATTTTTTGTTTTTTAGTTTATAATTATGTCTCATGATTTTATAGGTTATGTTTAATTTATTACTAAATTTAACTTTTTTCATTGTTACCAATTTTTCATTGAATAACAAAGATATTATTTAATTTTAATCATATTATGTTTCATACGCAATTAAGCTCAATAATAAGTACACACATAAGCAAATAGTAATGCACAATCATGCAACTTACTTAATAAATTATATTAATATTGTTTTTAATTTTTTAAGATTTATTATTAATATAAGAAAATTTGTAAAAAGTATAAACTATCAATTTGAATGTATATTGTATATTTTTATTTTATAGTTATGCTATGACATATATAATAGTTATTGTGCAATGATAATAATTATTATGATTGTTACGACGCTTAATGTTATTTTTTTACACTATCTGTGTGTTTGTAATTTATATTATTAAACGCATTTTTATCAGCGACGTTAATACTGAAATGTCATACTTATCTGTATAATTAGGCAATTAAATACTTATGATGTTGATGATCTACAACTAAATAGTGCTAATGCTGTTGCTTGCACGAATAGTTCATTCAAAGTACTATACTGTATTTTCCAATAAGAGTAGAAATTTTAGAAAATATATGAGTACAATAATTTTCTTCGCTATTCTCCAAACGTCAAACCAGTATCGTCTTGTCAGATCTATTTCCTAAAAGACTCATTAGTGAATGTCACACATGACACATAACAGTATACACATTAACCTCGATTACAACATTGATGAAATTAGACTTTAGACTAGAGACACTATGCATATTGTAATAAAATAACAATAATAATATAGTCAACATTTATTAAACTTGCAATAAACTGTTAAGATATAACAAGGGAACTTACAAAAAAAAAAAAAAATTACTAGGCAATAAACTATAAGTTTGGTATTTTTTTTTTTACAATATATAATAAATTAGTTGTATTATTTAAAAATAAAATTTAACTATCTAGAAAAATATAAATAATACTCTTAATATCATGATATGGAATATCATACCCAATGTTTGATTTTTTCATAGGGTAAAAGCAAACATACAATAAATTAACTAGGTTTGACATCAACTAATAACGTTATTGTCGTCGGTTATTTCTAGAAACTGAGCACAAATATCTCGCCAACATTCTCCTTTTTGGTTAAACACAAACTTGTAATAGTTTCCATCAGCACAAATAACTGAAAAATAAAGTATAAATAATATTCAGTGGTGTGTAATCTTAAGGATACCCACAGCACATATACCTAACGACTACACTACTGTACATGGTATTATTAAATTCACAAAATTTGGTTACATAAAGTACAAAACAGGTAATTTAAAATTATTCAAACAAACATTACCAATTATGCAGTTGTTTTCCGTGCCAAACGCGCAAATACACTGTGGTCCGTTAGGCACTTGAAATTTACAAAAACTCCAACTGGAGCTAAAATATTTAGGTAAAAAGTTAGATGCCAAACTGGACTGCTTGTTCAGACTTTGATCTTCGAGAGCAAATATATGAATTGTACCATGGTCGCTAGCCACGCACATCATGGTAGATTCGGCATTGAAATTAATACTTTATAAAACAGTAAATATAATTATTAATAGAAAAAATGTTAATTAAATTATTGCTTATTACCAATAAATTTGTGCCGTGTTAGTACCCCTCCGAAATTCATACAGCATGTTTCCGGACTTTGTATCGAAGACACGTATTAATGTACCCTAAAAAGAAACTCGCAATTAATAGTTTGCTTATATGTTGTATACATTTGGAAATTAAAAACATACTCTTTCAGAAGCTGTAGCCAGTCTTGTTCCTTGTAAATTAAGTGCAATACACCCTAAGAGTGTTTCATGTGCTGCAATGTCAAGTGGTGGTTTATCTGTATCAGCCAAATCAACTAATTGAACGTGTCCCATTTTTCTACCAGGAAAAGCCAATAAGGAGTTGTTACTGTTTGGACACAACATACACAAACCTACATAAAATTTTAAAAATATATATATGTATTAATAATCAATAAAAAAAAACACTAATCAAATACAAATTTACCTTTAGGATTTGCGTGAGTTTCAAACACGTGAAGTTGTTGTGGCGTCTGCGTAAATGTATACACTTTGATAACTCCTTCGAGAACGACAACTATTCGATCTCTTCTCAGCCGTACACACAAAACGTGTGTATTAAATTCTAATGTGATCACTGTGTCTTTTTTCAGATCATCCCAAATAACGACTGGGCAATAAATGATCCAGATTAATAATTTTGTTTGAAATAAAATATTTATGTATTTATTATAGTACAAATACCTCTATTTGTCGGGTACTTTGGTGACGTGCCGCCACCAACCATCGCTAAATAATTACATCTAAAAAGCATTTCAACAAATGCTAAGCCGCCTTCAGGAAAGTCTTGTCGCACTTTTTCTTTTAACGGATCACAGTTGTATACTCTAAAGCCCTTATCCATTCCGCAAGCAAAACATCCTATAACAAACAGTAGTATAATAAAAAATTTAAAACAAGAATTTTGGACGTTTTAAATCAGATTTTATAAACATTTTCAATTTAATCATGAGTAATACATTTAGATATAATAAAATAATTAAGTAGACACGGAGCTTCAATTTATCTTGTGAATTAAGTAATGGGTGTACTATACTTTAAAATTGTTTGATTGGATTTTCTTTAAAAACGATTTTGTTTTTAGCACAAAAACTATTCGTTTTCACCTTACACTCCACACACACGGGGTCAGCCACCCTAATCCTACACCTCCATAGAGCTCGATTTTCTACATGTCATTTAATCACCTTAGCTATCCTCATATCACTCTCTAGTACAAAAACTATTCATAAAAATATAAATTTTATCGAAGTTTAAAGCAACAGACAACATAATCTAAATAAGTTCATACCTTGGTCTTGATTGAAGCCGGCAAATAGCAAGCCGTTGCCGTGGGGGTTGGTTCTGCCGATATTCATTGTATTGCTTGCATGTGTTGTTCAAACGCAATCCATTTAAGTTGAGACAATAATTATGAATATGACAAAGCGGACAGGTCTTGCTAATGACCATTAATCAGTACGGATGGAACGGCGGGCACTTACGATAATCGCTTTTGTACAGTCTACACAATAACATTTAGTAATGATATTTGAAATTATTACAAATTAATATGTTTTCAGTGACGGATGGAGAAAAAACAATATTGAACCGATTAAGTCGGTCGCAAACCGAACGCCAATGCCAAAGAGCAATTCGTGTGTGTGTGTAAGCTCTCTAGAAGGGAATGATAGTGTTTATTTTAGTTTTGACTTAAACCTGCGTACATTCGGTTAATAGTTAAACAAAAGTGCCGATTGCCGAGTACAAATTAAATGTATACGATAATATTAAAACACCAAAATCAAAAAAAAGGCCCAAGGCCTCAGATATTTTGATATACTTAAATTAATAATAATAACAATAACAATCTGTATTCTGTATACGCGTACTACTGTCTCCGTGGACGTTATCAACGGAAGTGTGTTATCAGTACTTATCAGCAGGTTAGACAACCAACCGAGGTTTCGGCACAAAATAACCAGAAGGGAAACTTTAAAATAATTGCATGGGTTCTCCGTTCTTATGAATCGCCGAAAAAGGCCGACTGCCATATTGTTTTAACGGTTGGGAGCCAGACTATAATAGCACAGAATAAATAAAAGCAGATTATATTGATAACACACATATATCCCACCAGAATGGCGGACCGTCGGCTTCAATTCTTATCGCTAGTTAGCAATCTAGTTTATTATATATATCTGGGTTTTTTCAGGGTCCGGGGCCTGATAAGTGATAATAGATGGACTTAAGTCTAAAGATAGTCGCAGAACCCAGGAAAATGCACGATAATTGTACGTAATCTGCAAAAACAAAATTTCGTACATTTATCAGTCCTGACCTAGGGGTTTCCCTTCTGGTTAATTCGTGGTTTCGGTCGGCTTCATAGATACATACTAATATTATTAACGAATGGCCGCCATACTCGATCTAAAATTTAATTCGGCCATCTATACTCAATTTCAAAATGAGAACATACCGATTTTGACGTTGAGCATCACGACTGACGGGCGCGGGGCGACGGCTGGTGGCAGGCGGCTGCTGTCCGCTGAGAGGCAAATTTCTCCCACTCTTGCCAAAAGTACACGACGGTCTCCATGCCGTCGTGGAGGGAGGTGTTACAAGGGAGAAGTGCATCAGTGATGCGCGCCGCCCGGTATGTTCTCTTTTGACACAGATTATAGGTTATTGTAACTTACTGCTCACACAATAATATATTCTATGGTCGCTTAACAATTACGACTGATAACTGATAAGCCCAGCAGTTGGTGCGTGCGGTCTCAACAATGATAACGAAAGTAATTTTTATTTCTTTTTGCTATTACCGCCGTAGCCGTTACCGGTAGACTGATAGTACACACATGACACAACACGGCCGTCGTCGATAACGTAATTTTTTTTTTTCTCGATGTAGCCAAATACCGGCTGCCAGTTGTGACCCCCTCTCAGGCCTCGGCCCTCGTCAGTCGTCGACCGCAACTCGCGGTATCTAGTTGTTATTTATCGCTGTCCGTTGTGCTAGCGCGCGTTTCTACTTTCCGTTAGTAATAATTATTATCGGAGTAAAAAAAAAACCCCGCGCAAACCTCGATACGTAGGGGGGAAATTACGTAAATTTTCATTTTCTTCATTTCTTTTTTTTCTTCACGACAATCTATTAAATATTCTTGTGCGTTTTTTTTCTCTAATGAGTACGTCTAGTTTGTCCACGTGACGACCGCCTTCGGCTTATCGACCGAACACATGCGAACGTTATCGTCCGCTTACAATATCCGGCAAAAAAAGGGTTACCACGCAAAAATCGAATAACACACCGACGGCCGAAAAGGATTAGCACAAAAAGTTTGTACCCGAATTTGTTTTTTTTTTTACTACTTGCACAATGTTGTACTTTGTTTTCTGTCGCTCTCGGTCGGTATAAAAGCTACAGCCGGTTATGGGTACGTTACCTACAAAGTAATATTATCGCAGGGAGCACGAAGACGTTTTAGGTATTAGGTATTACTACACCGATAATAATATATAGCCAACAACCGTGTATAATGACAATAAAGAATATAACGTACTAGATTGCCGATACCGTTGGCAAATAATGATAATGTACTGGGATAATATTGCCCTGGGGGGCATCGTGTGATCAGTGATAGTGCGTGTGCGGTCGTTTCGCAGTTTTCAAGGTCCGGAGCCACTACATGTACATAAATATAATATATAATATCATATACAGCTGCTGTGTATACGCCGAAAATTGGCAGACGGCAAAAGCGTAGCCTGACAAAAATGCAATTTTTTTTATTTTTTGGCCCTCGTCAAGTGAGATTAAACTTGGCACACTTCGCCCCAAGCCGTACGTTTTGCTGTGATGCACCTGACCGACCTTACCGCACGTTCCACCGACTCTGAAGTCCGGAAAATCATGTATGACAGTTGATGATTGATTTTTTAAAACGGTCCTACTTTCTTTGAAGTAGTAGCCGTAAATTTTGAAATTTTGAAAACATAATCATATAAAAAAAAACCAGCACAAAATGAGGTCCGAGACATAACAGTGTAAAATTATTATATAACTGAGTGATAAAATCGGTCTCAATTTTCAAATAAAATACTTCGATGCGTATCTGTAGATGGCACAGTACCTACAATAATGTATTAAATATCACTAAACGCCTACATTAGGTAAAAAGACAATAAAATGCTTAAAATTGTTTTTTAGTATTTAGAGAAGGGGGGGGGCGATTAGGTTTAATCGACTGTCCCCGAAAACAATAATATTTTTTTGTTGTTAGCAAACCTTTTCAATTATCCCCCAATTCTTAAGTTTTTCCTTAATAAAAAAAAAGTTTGACTACAGATTGTTCAGAAAATCATTTATATTGTATTTCCACTCTAGGTCTACCTTCAGTCCAGTTTTAGATCTTAAAATCTAAATCTACTATCGAAAAAGTGAAAAAAAAAATTTTTCTGAAACTGAATCTTGCTACAAAATTTTTCTATAGCTACCAGTTAGTTTTTAAATGGCATCCAAAGTTTTAAGCAATTTACAAAATCAAAAATTTCTAATTTATTTTATGTGTATAAAAAAACTAAAAATTTGACATTAATTCTTTACCAGATTTGAATTTAGCAAAGAAAATATAATAAAAAACTCGATTTTAAATAAGTATTCAAACGTATAAAAAATACAACAAAATTATGGTTTTACAATTTTGGAGTAGGTTTAAAAAAAATTAGACGTGCAAAACAATTCTAAGACCAAAAACAAGTCCAGCAAAAAACTATGAATTTTATCCTTATTAAAAAAAAAAAAAATTAGTTGCACTACAGTGTTTTTTTTTTTATGAATTAAGTTAGTATCATTCTTAAATGTCGATGTTAGTCTATATTTAAAATGATTGCTACTTTTTCCTAAGTTTTTGAGAGATGGGAAAAAAAATATTTATAGAAAAAGATTACTCAACTATTAATGTCAAAATGACAATAAAAAAAATACTACAATACGTCTACGACTCCATTATATGGCGTCGATAAGACAACCTTGAAATATTTCGATTTTTACCTAGTCGTTTAACGTAATGAAAATTTCATAAGATATTCAGTGAATTCTTATTTTATAAAATGTTTTGTGTATGAAATTAAATTGGAATTTATTACTAGTAGTAAATATCATTTCAATAAAAAAAAGAAAATTGTTCATTGATATTGTTTTATTATTTGTAACAATTAAATGTGTCACGAGTATTTTCAGAGATTGAAAACGTTACCAATCCAAAATGTACATTTGTTGTTATCATTTCATCTAATGTTGATAAACCGATTGATAATATGATAGACAGCTAGCTTAACTGTTTTTAAACTTGTAAAAATAATAATAGGTAATAAATATTTTAATGTTATGCCTTTTGGAACTATATAAAATGTAGTTCGTGGAACGAAACGTTTATATTGTTCCAACAACTTATAACCTAAGAAAATTTGACTTTTTATTCCTTTTTTACTATTTAAAAATCAGGCTACCAGATTATCAATAATTTTAATACATTTTTAATGTACATATAATTAATGTAAATTTGTCTTAGTAACGGTTTCAAACCTTGGTTAAGTAGTCCCGAAAACAAAATATTCACACGCGGTAAAACATAAAAAAAAAACAATACATTTTGTATGTCTGGCACATTTGTACCTTGTATGAGAAAGTAATAATATTTTATTATGCAGGATGTGGTTACCTATTATTATTATTTAAATTATGTCTGCAACAAAGTCAACCGGTTCGGCGCAAAAGCAAATTGTACCACGTTCGATCTCGCTATCTGTAAAATAATTGTGTCCGCCTCCACCTTGTAAATAATGGTTTTTTTAATTTCATTGCCGATGTAGGGTGTTGACGTTAAATATCAAAATATACAAGTAAAACATGTTTGCTGTCCGTTTCTGTATTATGTACGATATACCTACGGCTTCATCGTATACACAGACCACATACCTACGTATTTTGTATTTTACTTTACCAATGGGGCGAATGGAGTTTTGGTGGTCAATAGAAATAAGGTCAGAATTTCGAACTAACTATTCCATTCAAATTCATAAAATTACACATTCTTAGCTGTATGTTTTTATACGCCTAGCCATTACTGTTGTAAATATTATAACTATTCATAAATTGCCACGTTTTTATATTGTGATACAGACATTCAGTTGTATGTATATGTTTTTAAAATAATATGTTAATACGAATTTCCTTAAGTGCGAATTATTCCATGACTAATTAACGCCTGTACATCCTTTGTTTGCTATATTGCACGTGAAAATAAAGATACAGTTTTACTAAATGCTCTTCTTTTTGAACCTTAATGCTATGAGTTATTCTGCTCTACTAATTTATATAATAACGTCAACAAATGTACATTTATTGCCCGTACTGTAGTTACACGCGATACAGATAGTAACTATATCCTATGATGCGTTTATGTTATATTTAGGGCGAATCGCTTCAAATAAAAATAAATAAAATACAAATAAAAGTATGCGGAACAATATTCTAATAGCGATTATGTTGCACACATTTCTTGTATTCCAAGCAATATTTTATTTGTAAAATTAAATATTAATTTTAAAAAAAGGAAATCAATTAAATTGTCAGAAGACGTTTGTTTTAAATAGAATATGAAGGGTTTAAGTTAAAAAAAAAATGTTAAGTAACATCATCACGCGTACAACATGACATATGAATAGTATGGCAATTGTGTTAATTATAAAATACAATAAACTAACATAAAATATGTTTGCTGTTTGATTATTATAATAATAATTTAATGTTGATAAACATTAAACTTAATACGTTACCAAGTCATCAAACAATTTCATAGGAAAAAAGTATTCTGTGTACAAAAATTATTATTATTATTATTATTATTTATGATTCTATGTGTGCTTGTGTTTATATTTTGAATACTGTGTCTTTATTATTCGCAATGATGCTTTGGCACAATATCACATATAATAACTTTAATATTTACTATTTTTAGCTATAGCTTAAATCAATAAGTGTGTTTCGGTACATCATCTACTGATGGTATTTTCAATAAAACCAAACTAAAATTAAACTTTTTGACCTAATTTCTTTGTCAAAATTTTTAAATTTAAATTATTAACTAGGTTTAAGTTTGTGTGTTAATTACAAGTTGTGTTTTTTTATTAGAGTAATATCTTGAGTACTCTGGATCATATTTTAATCATTTCTGTTTAATTGATGTATTCTAAATAATTGATGTTGGACTAAATTAAAGATGTTTGAAAATAATTTGTTATTAAAGTAATTTATGCGAAGTACTGTATTAAAACAAGCAAGTTTAGTGTCTAAAATCAATAGTGTATTATAATTTTTCTAAGTAGTACGTCACATGGCGTCAGAAAGTTATTATTTCTGTTTGTACTTAAATACTTTAAACTCTTACAAATTATTATTAAAAAAAACAATTCATTGACATTTAAAAAATAAAATTCGCAATATTACTACTATTTAATTTTTATAAGACATGTTTTTATTTGTTTTGTTTTTGTTGTAGTAGACCAATTATTTTTTTAAGAAGCGATTTCAATACCTATTAAGTCAAATGACAAGTCATTAGAATTATCTATAACGATCTGTTGAATATTCGGTCTATAGAATTAGTTATCTCTTTAATTTTTTTGTTATTTCATTACAACTTTATAGGGTATTCTACTGACGGCTCGGCCAAAGAATCTATTAACCGCATAATCCTATTGATACAGACCAGCATTGTTACTGAAGGGTTCACTACTATTCAAAGGCTGAAATGTTCAAATTCACACCTTGAACTTGTTTCACAAAACTATCGCCATAATACTTCCCCCCAGTCCAGTTAAAATCGATTATGATACAAATGAAGGGCTGCGGAGAAAAAAGATCTATGTCAAATTTTTTTGAAAATGAGATTTTGGTATCAAATTATTTGTTTTGATGTATTGTATCTTTTATGCGCTCGAACCAGGGAAAAAACAAATTAGTCTAGAGTAACGACCGCCGGAAGTTTAGGCATACAGGCAAAATGTATTACGTTTTGAAATTAAAAACATGATTTTCTCACAATGTTAAAAAGTTGACATTGATCTTTTTTCCCCGCAGCCCTTCAAATACTATTTCGCGAAATAAAATTAAGAATTTTACTATAAAATACCTGATTGAACAAAATGGTAAGGTCATTAAGCAATGACAATTGTTCATTTTTTTTTAATTACATTTTAAAACGTTATTTGTAGACAAGATTAGGTTTTGGCAAATTGTTAAAATATCTAATTATCTAATTCATTAATTAATAATA